GTTGAAACTTTGCGAAGGAGATAGTGGGTTGCTTTTTTGCTTTTCCAAGAAATGGGGCTGCCACCAAGAGTAATATAATAGCCAGTGACATATTTGCGAGAAATGGTACAAGCAGCCCAATCAGAGTCAGAGTAGGCTGTGAGAGACAAATCAGATGAGCTGGATCATTAAGCAAATACCTGAGAACATGTAAGGCTGCCAACATTGGGGCACTTGAGGTTTTTGAAGAAACTGGCTTAAATGTTGAACTGAGAAGGAGATATCAGGCCTAGTATGTTGCAATAAATTGAGCATCCCAATCAATCTCCTATACAAGCTAGGATCAGAAACAGGCTCCCCATGTCTAAAATCAGTTTCACAGAAGGGTCCAAAGAGGTCAGGACAAGAGAGAAATGTTGACAGTTAAATTCAGACAAGAGGTCAGAAGTGTACTTGTATTGGCTCATCGCATAACCTCGAGGAAGAAGAGATATCTCTAAACCCAAAAAGTAGTGAACTGAGCCAAGGTCCTTGATTTTGAATTGAGCATCCAAGAAGGACTTCAAAGAGTTCATCTCAAGAACATCATTAGCAACCAGTAATATGTCATCAACATACACAGTCAAGACAATGAGAGAATCAGAGGACACCTTGGTGAATAAAGAATAATCATTCATGTTGGAAATGTAGCCTCTGAATTGCAAAGCTTTAGACAGTTTTGAAAACCACTGTCTAGAAGCTTGCCTAAAGCCATAGAGGGACTTCTTGAATCTGCAAATCAGGGGAGAAGAAGAAGAGGGGGTAGACACATCAAGACCAGGTGGAACCTTCATATAAACCTCTTCATGGAGATCCCCATGAAAGAAGGCATTGTTCACATCAAGTTGAAAAACAGTCCAGCCCCACTTAGCAGCTAAAGTGAGTAAGCACTTGATGGTGGTTAACTTGACTACAAGGGAAAAAGTTTCAGTGAAATCAATGCCCTCCTTTTGAGTGTCACCCATAATGACTAGCCTGGCCTTATACCTCTCAATAGAACCATCAGTCCTTTGTTTGATTTTGTAAACCCACTTATAAGGAATAGCTTTCTTGTGAGGAGGTAGAGGGACAATATCCCAGTCTGGTTTGCCTCAAGGGCTTGGAATTCCTTTAGCATGGCCTCTTGCCAAGCAGGATGTGAGACAGCCTGCTGGTAGAACTAGGTCAACAGAAGATACCTTGGAAGAGTTAGGAAGAGAATTAGAGGAAAGGATAGAAGAACATACATCGTCTTTGAGATAGGAAGGTTGGTGCACTATTCTGGTGGATTTCCTCAAAGGTGGAAGAGAAGGGAAGACAGAAGGAGAAACAGATAGAGGGGTAGGAGAAGGAAATAAGGGAACATGAGAGTCTTGGGATGCTGAAACAACATGAGTACGAGAAGGTAAAGGAAATGAGCTTGCAGAATCTACAAAATTTGATGTGGAATAAGAGGGAAAGACAGAATAATGATCACATTTATAGGGAAAAAGATGTTAATGGAAAACCACATCTCTAGAAAAGAAAATGAAATGAGTAGTGAGATTAAGAAGTTTGTAACCCTTTTTGCCAAAGGGGTACCCCAAGAATATAGAAGGAATTGCTCTTGCCTGGAATTTGTCTCTGCCAAACTTAGGTGAAGTAGCAAAGCATAAACATCCAAAAGATATCAGGTGATCATAAAATGGAGGGAGGCCATGAAGTTTCTCATAAGGGGAAAGTTTCTTCAAAACAACGGAGGAAGTTTATTTATGAGATAAGTGGTAGTTAGAACACAGTCACCCCAATATCTAAGGGGAAGGGTAGATTGAAAAAGAAAAGCCTTGGATACTTCCAATAGGTGTTTGTGTTTCCTTTCAACCGCCCCATTTTGTTGAGGGGTGTGTGGGATAGTGGTCTGATGGAGAATGCCTTGGCTTTAGAAGAACTTGGTGGCTTCAGAACTGCCACCAAGTTCAAAGGCATTGTCTGACCTAAAAGTTTAAACAAATGATTGAAAGTGAACTTTGACCATGACAATAAAAGCTTTAAGGACAGAAAGAGCATTGCTTTTGCAAGAAAGAATGTGAGTCCATGTGGCTCTAGTATAATCATCAACCAAAGTTAGAAAATATCTGAAGCCACTATAAGTTCTAGTGTTGCATGGACCCCAAATGTCAATATGTACTAATTGAAAAAGAGCAGAAGAGTGTATAACACTTTCAAGAAAAGGTAATCTCTGTTGTCTTGCTAGTGGACAAACAAGACACATAAAATTTTGCAGAATGAGCTTCTCTTTGACTCTCATCTTGCGGCAGGAGGCTATAAGCTTTGCTGATTGGTGGAAGGGGAGTCATCAACATAATGACACTCTTAACAGTTGTTTACGACTCATTGAGACCATTAAGAAATTGAAACAACTGATCCTCTATGAACTTAGGTTGTGCACCACATGACAAACAGGACCTACATATGATGAATTCAGCTTATCCCACAAACTCCTCATTTTGGTGAAGTAAAAAGCTATATTAGAGGAGCCTTGAGTAATTGAGTTGATCTCCCTTTGTATTTGAATGTATTTAGACCCATTTGACTAACCAAACCTTTCATTTATATCTTTCGCAGACTTCCTTAGCAGTTTTAAAACACATGACACTAACAACTATTTCTCTAGATACCGAATTAGTTATATAGGCTTAACCATATCATTGCACCTTTCCTAATATGGATAACAAGGGGAGTCAGGAGTGGGTTGGTTGACTCTGCCATCTAATAGACTGAGCTTGTTTTTTGCAGAGAGGGAAGTAAGCATACTGTTACGCCATAACACAAACCCACAACCACTGAATGGTACAGATACCAGTTAACTCGCGGGATTATCCGAGGGATGAATATAAAAGGGATGTGAGAGATCCAAGGAAAAAGAAGCAAATCCGTTGGAAGGTGAAGTAGAGTTAACATCATCTATCACACTACCCATTTTCAGCAGTAACTAAAGTTAACACTAAGAAACTATAGCAATATGTTGAGTAATCAGAGATGGATCCAAATCAATTACATGCAATGAACATTAATAATGAAAAATATCAAGGCTTGTGATTAGGAGTAACAACGATACCGACTTTCTTCTGAAAACTCGAAGAAGTAAGGTCTTGTTCAGCCATGAACCCTAGGTAGAGAAATCTAGCAGAAACTCTCGAGCAACTTGAAGACTAGTGAAGATCCAAGCACGAAAAGTCGATTAAACGCGAAGATTGAAAGAAGCCCCAAATTTCACGAACGTACTTTGAACGTCGACGATCAGAATCAATCTCTGACGATTTCAAACAAGATTACCATCGGAAGAAAGCTTGCGACGAGAGGAATCAATATTCTTGCTCTGATACCATGTTAGGTTAGAAGCTTGTTAGCTATGGCGGAATTGAAAGAAGAAAACCCTAGAAGGGTTGAGAGAAAAAGAGAGACGAGTGAGTCGGTCAAAATGTAATTGACCAAAACTAATTTTATTATTGTGCAGAGACTATTTATATTTACAAGTGTAAAAGGAGAAAAACAATTATAAAATATTTACATTACTAAACTACAACAGATTTGGCTAGGTTTTATAAGAGGGCCTTCTGCTTTCCATTATCCGATTGGGCCTGTGTCAACTGTATGTATCTGGGCTAACAAACTCTTTATCACTGTTTGGTATTTGCATCTTAGGCATCACATGAATGCAAAAGTTTCCGGGAAATGTGTTTTTCTGCCTATGGTATAATAGAGTTAGAGGGACTGACTGTTCATTTTAGAGAGCTTCTCTGGTCAGACATGAGATGGATAGAGTACTTCGTTCCTTTTGTAAAAACCAGCACATCTGTTCCACAGTTCCAGAATCCAGATGTACCCTTGAATAAATTGCATATAGAGTGGAAGTAGTTGTTTTGTGATGTAATTTTGATTTTATTAGTCAAATAAAAATGGATGGCGGCAGGTTGGAAGCTAACGTAACAATAGTCAACTTATGAACAAAATGGGTAATTTTGTAAAGGACTAAAGGCAGCCCGGTGCACAAAGCATCTCGCATTCACGCAGGGTCCGGGGAAGGGCCGCACCCCAAGGGGTGTGATGTAGGCAGCCTGCCCTGACGCAAGCACCCGTGACCGATTCCACGGCTCGAACCCGTGACCTATAGGTCACACAGAGACAACTTTACCGTTGCTTCAAGGTTCCCCTTCAATTTTGTCAAGGATATGAGCAAGAAAATAGTCACAAGAGTGACAGTAGGATAATATTGAGTTGTTTACTGGGGATCAATCTTGACAAGATCTTATCTCTAAGATAAAATTATTTTTATTTTGTTTCTATTTTATAGATCAACATAAATAATATCCTCACAATCTACATAAGAGAGAGAGAGAGAGAAGGGGTGGGGAGGTTCCCCTCGGAATATGGAATGCGAAAAGTGCCCATCATCCTGAAGAAAATTGTCTGATTATATATTTCTATTTAATGCAGAAGCATGACTGCTTAGTGTTCCTACTGTGCTTAAAAGCTGAAGTGCATAAATTGACTACTAACAGAAGGGAACTCCTCAATTCTTCTTATTAAAACCATTACTAGCTATATCATTCAAACGATTATTATTTGAGCTTTTTATGCAAACAAGCTCCACAGAGCTGTCATATGCAGGTACTATGAGGTCACAGCTGTCTTGATTGCTCACAGCAACTGCTATTGAAGTCTTGGTGTGGGTCCATCCAAGCTGATAATGTAGCTTTGTAGTTTTTTGGGCTTCTTTCTATCTTTCCATATATGGGTTTACTTCATTCTTACTTCCTCTCTTGTAATAACTCTGGCTTTTGAATGTTAGAATGTGTTTGCGTGTGTTGAATTTGCTCATTCTGATTAAGGTCGCTCTACTGTCCTAGTGATAAATAGGTAACTTTATAAGCTGGTGATTGCTGAATTCAGCAATTCTTTTTTTTGAAAACTAATGTTTGTCCTTCTATGCTTCAACTCATTCGACGGTGCCTTTTCTATAGGTCAGGGGAGTGAAGCGTGTAGGTCCTACTACCAGGGCCAGAGGACTGATCCAAGGATGGCATTAGAGAATCAAGGTGGCAAGGATCCCAGAGCACAGCCTCGTGAAGAAGACATGGATATTGGTTACGAAGATAATCCGGTGCAGCCGTCTTTGGAAGGGCTAGAAAAAAAAATTCTTGATGATATAATGAAACTCACCAAGGAACAAAATGATGCAGAAGATGCAGAAAATTTTAGGCATAGGGAGGTTAGTTCAGCTTACTTAAGTGCTGCCATAACATGGTAAATTCTTCGTTAGTAAGTCAAGTTCTAAAGAGGTTCATCAAAAGGGCGATACCGCAATTTGCATTATGTGCATCTTTTTTAGGATAAACGAATATTTATGCACAGCTTTCAATTTCCATCTATATCTCATAGCTATCAACTCTGTGGCTCTGTGCAGAACTGGATAGATCCAACTGAGAGACCCAGATATTCCCTTAACATCTTAGTTCTTACTAACAAAGAGCAATCTTGCATTCCTCAAAACTTGCCTTCTCCTTAAGGTTCTCGCAACAGAAAACCAACACCTTAGTAGGCAATATCTGTTACAGTGAAATCAGATCAAAATATGACGTATCAACAAAAAAAGTTAGATCAAAGAGAATTGTTAAAATGCCATATCCAAGCCTAGTAACGAGGAAATGTCTTGCAAGTTAGTGGTTATATGTGCTTCAAACTGATAAAACTTAACCCCTACCTTATATTATTTTTGGCAAAGTTTGATGGCCATGGAGTCTAGATACTTAGCTTCAGTTGGGAAATACCTATTACTGGTCAACTAATATAATTATCAATTTTGGATTTTGAATGAAGTTTGCTTAACAGTGTTGCTAGTATATCATAATTGGGTTTCATTTTACTTATTGATCTCAGATATGATGATTCTTGTGGTTTATAGATTGTGTATAGTGTGTTCTGCCTATCACTGGTTAAAGAGTTCAGAGCAAGAAAGGCTACTTTGTCCTAGCAGCTGCAGATAAATAACTGCATTAGGGTGGTTTGATATTGTTGTTAATACTTACTGTCTTCACTTCCGTCATCCTTTCTTTAGCCGAGGGTCTATCGGAAATAGCCTCTCTGCTTCCAGGGCAGGGGTAAGGCTGCGTACATCTTACCCTCCCCAAACCCCATTTGTGGGAAATTACTGGGTTTGTTGTTGTTGTTGTTGCACTCGCAAAAATTATTCTTTACTGCTAGGAATGGCAGTGGTTGGAGCACTTTCTGAAATTGTGCTCTTACCATGCTTTACTTGTAGATGATTGGACATTTTCTATGGACACCTTTCCCGAAGTTGTCTGCCCTCAATGAGTTTGAATGATATTTCTTCGTCTTCCGATATTTGGATTGACTTAGAGTCTAGTACATGAGGTTGAGAATAAGGATCCAAGCTTAAGCTTGTACTTTCAAGTTTTTAAAAGATGTACGGTTTTCGTTGTTTAATTATTGTAGGTTACAGTATTTTGCCGTTCCTTCTATTATCTGTTTTTCCTTCTGCACATATTTAGGTTCTAAAACTTTTGTCCTTGCTCTTTTACTGCTTTTCTAGAACACCCCGCTTAGGAGAAATTGTCATATCTACTTGCTGCAATAAGCTACAAATGATTTTTCTTTGACATAATAAATTGGTTTTACAGAACCGGAACTGTGTATAACTTTGTTTCCACTATGCCCGTCAGATCAAGAAAGCTTGATACACCTAAATGAAGTTTTTGACTGTCAGCTAGTACATGGTATAAAAGAGGGTTGCTAGGTCTAGAATTTTTCTGAGGCTTTTGTCTTTGTATCTTCTAGAGATGTCTATCTAACTGATGATGCTTGCGAGACTGTGGGAAGGTTGAATAAAAAAATTCTGTGAGAGACTTTCCCTGATGCTTTATGCCTTTTCAGCTGTTATGCTAATTAGATATATAGAAGAAGTGCAGAAAATTATTCCTGAAATGAAGCTGGAAATCAGCAATGGCAATCACGGCATCTATGGCTTCTATTTTGGAGGAAAGACATTGGAATTGGGAATAATTTTGGAGAGAATCAGGAAGAATTAGGCCGTGATATATCTGAGCCTGGACAGTGGACACTATGCAGGTGGCATTCTAGGAAAAAGTGGTTCGTAGTTACAGTAAATGGGCCTTATAGATAATTAGGTACGGTAAGGGGAAAACAGCTTTCTTATCTGGCTTGTAAGATGGATTTTGAAGTGAATTAGGCTGTGATTTCTTGCTGTGGGGATGTTGAAAGGATACATGGATGTGAGAGAAAGGGGAGCAGCATCAGTCTTTGGAGTGTGAGAAGGAGTTCCAGGAGGAGGGTGTTTAATAATGGCAGTAGCTGGAGGATAGAAGAAAGAATAGGTAGGGTTTGAGACTGAATTTACATCTTGGCTGCCATAGCTGCTACAGAGGTTTCCTTCCAATATCATTAGTAATACATACCTCATATCTGGAATATGCGATTAAAGAATAGAACTGAATAAATATATAGTATTAGACTCGGTGCTGCTTCATAGTTTCTTGAAGTTAGTCACGTTATGATGTAATTAGCCTTGGAAGTGAACTGATTAAGACTAGTAGGAATGCTATGATTTTTAGTTTATGACGTTATCCCACATGCTTCTGTTCTTTATTTTGTATTCATGTCATGTAATGATGTTTTATTATTGTAAATCATAAATTACTCTTGACATTTAAAATGTCAGTTACATAGTTGAGGCACATATATGGACAATCCAGAACAAAGTCTTGCACAATTCTTTACGTTAGTATTGCTTTTAGATCAGTCAGGGGTAACTATTGGGAGTGCAGAGGTTCTCCTTGTTCTTGTACTGGTTTTGCTTCAACGGATATGAATCTCGTATTGTTATACAATTCTTGTTTCCATGAGAGTAACACTATCAGCTTATGATTTTTCAGCGGATAAATGCAATCAATGCACAATATCAAGAACAGCTAGTTGCCCTTCGCTCTCAGCATGCTAGTCGCAGAGATGAAGTCCTTGGAAGGGAGTCTCATGCCAGAAAACAACAGTATGAGCAAGTTGCTTTGGATAACTATCCACGTAGTAGCATGAGCGTTAACAATGCTCGTGGATTTGTGGCAATGAACTCCCCATCAGGAGAACGGCAAGCAGCTCGTGGATTTGTGGCAATGAACTCCCCATCAGGCGAACGACAAGCAGCAGCCTATAATGCTGATAATTATGACTCTTATAGGGAGAATGCTCGATATCTTGGCAGTGGAAGGGATCATGGGTATGAACCTAGAGTCCAATACCCTGGGGGTCGTGTTTATGACACTGGTTCACGCTACTATTGAGTAACTGCTTAGGGGTAGTATCTACTCTATCTTTTAGTTTGTTTGGGCTAGGTGCTTGTAGCGGCATATCATACTCGTCTTTATAGCTTTTATCAGATGGCAGTGAAGATCATATATGCTTGTAATCCGTGTTGTAATAAGAAAATTACTCGTCTTTAACCTTCTAGTCTCCATCCTGACGATTCATGATCTTGGCATGGATTGCTGAGGAAGATCATCTGTTACAGTCTGGAATCTTCTTGAATGATTTTATCCTGGTTTATTAATACTACGTAATACCAGTAAGTAAGAAGTGCATCAGTCGCCATGGTAATTAATATGTATTTTTACCTCAATTTCGCAGGAACCATGGTATTAATATGGTTTGGTGAATGCGCCGATCTGAGTAAGTTTTTCTTGAAGTGCCATGTTATACTCCTAGATACATGTTTCCTAAAGGTTTTATGGGAGTCATATCCACTCCAAGAGTTGCTCTGAGTTGAGCACAACCAAAATGAAGGAAAGTTGTCACTAATTTTGAAAGAATACCTTGAGAATTTTCTATCATGTCATGAAAATAGCTGATTTCCATAATTTCCTCCAGAAGTGGCAATTGGGATCCATACAGATTAATATTTTAGAGAAGTATAAATACTTTCTAGTAGAAAAATGCTTTCGCAATTGCCACCTTTTTCAACAAAGTAAAAACCAAAAATATTGACATTTTGGCTAAAACTCATATTTCCTAATAAGAAACAAACAAACCCACAAAAAAATGAGGAAAAAGTTTAATGGAAAAGGCATCTCTTCCATTAGGCTTGCAATTGATTTTGATCAGCCAATTACAACACAACACACCCTTTATTTTTCACTTCTATCATTTCTCGACAGAATATATTAGTTTTAAAAAGCAAACAGTGACATCATCTCCTATTTGGTTGGCACTTAACAGGTATTTTAGGGCTACCTTTTGTTTCTCCATAGAACACGTTTGAATTAAGGGTGACAAGTGGGCCGGTTAGGTCCGGGTCCGGCCCAAACCCGTGAGCCCATAAGGGTAGTGGGCCTAACTTAAATAAGATTGTGAGACAAACTCAAGAAATAATCATAAATGATAAACAATAAACAAGAAAATCAAACTTATACTAATTTCGGATTCAAGGTTCAAATAATATGCCTGTTAGGACCGAGACCGTTTGGGCCCGGGACCGGCTCCTAAGTGGGCTGGTTCAACCGGTCATAATTTTAAAAAATAAAATAAAAATCTCAAATAAAAATCTGACCGTTGCACCTTTAAAAAATAGCCGTTATGGCTGCCAAAATAGTAGTTGGCTATTTATAAAATAGCCATTTAACCTCCCCAACTTTGTTTTAACCCCAAACTTTTTATAATTACACCTTTTCCCTATTTTCAACTATAAATACCCCCTCATTCTTTCATTTTTCTTCACCAAATCATCAATCTCTCTCTAAGTTTCTTCTAAAATTGGTTACTTTGTTGTTGCAACTTGTGTGAAAAATTATGAAGTTGGTGAATTGAAGTATTCAAGTCTTCAACGATAATTAATTTCAACAAGTTGTTCGTCAATTCGGTAAACTCGTTCCAACTCTTTAGTTTTAATATTATATTTTTGTTTGTTTTATTTAATGACTTTGTATAATTATAACTAAGATGGCATATTCCTTAAAAAAAATATTTAGTAAAAATAAGGAAAAATCCAAAAGTGGTGAATCTAGTGGCTAATCTATTCCTCCTCTAATTCCCCAGCCTCCCCTACCCAAACCCCATACCCGCCCTCCACCTGCTCCTATTCTTGATAGTGATAATACTTTAGTACAATTTACGGATAGTCAATATGTGCATAATGTTGGTGGTGGTGAACGCATAGATGATGAACATATGAATTCTTTATGGTAATCCAACTATAGATGAAGAAGATGAGCAGGAAATAGATTTAGATGAAACACAACCGGATGATGATACACCCACTAGTCCTGTTGCTCAAGTTAACCCAACTAATCCAAAGGAAGCCCCGGATGACCCTCCCCCTGTTACTACCCCTACTTTTTCTAGACAACCTTCTAAACGGGCCAAAACATCTCTTGTTTGGCCATTGTTTATTCAAATAAGAGAGAAAAATAAAGCTAAGTGTAAAACTTGTAGCAAAAAGTTAGCTTTAACTATGTTGATGGGGGAGGGGGGAGTTTGAGGAGACACATAATGATACACCCTCAAGATAAAGCTAAAGTTTTTCAAATGAAAGTTGCGGCCGGAGGGCAAGTCCAACTAGTTAGCCTGACCCTAGTACCAGGTCAAATTAATTTCAACCGGGAATTAACACTATTACCGGTGAAATTTTATATTATGACTCAAGAAAAGATAGGAAAGAATTGGCAAAAATGATTACTGTTATGTGCTTACCCTATAGTTTTCCGTCTAACCTCCACTTTGTGCATTATATTAGAAGAGTTTTTAATCCTACTTATAAAGGATGGCCTCGCACAACCGTAAAGAGCGATATTTATAAATATAAACATGAATATGAACAATATTTGCGCTATTTATTTACTCATATTAATTTTCGTGTAGCAAGCCTGGGTCCTTTATAAGTAGGATTAAATATTTACGCTATTTATTTGGTATATATATACCCAAAAGCCCATGAAGCATGGGTCCGTTTAAGCCCGGCCCACGAAGATCGGGTCCGTTTAACCAGTTTGGGACCGGGACCGGACCGTTTGCCACCCTTAGTTTGAATTAACAATAAAGGATCGGAGCTATCAATCCCTATCCCATTTGATTCAAGTACTATTCAATGGTCAACATAAGGTTGCCCAATAACAGAGACAAATATTTCCAAAAATGCATCAAATATAACATTCTTCTTGGAGAAACATTGCAATTAGGACTGCTACTCTTCTGGGCACATGTTACTGGTTGCAAAGATATACTTGTTTACATGATAAAGAAAAGAATCCTGCCCTCTTGGGGAGGTGTCAACAATTTGAGAAGATGTTTGGGTGCTGAAATTGCTCTTTAGATCTTATACAACAATAACGACCCAGTAAAATTCTACAAGTGGGGTCTGGGGAGGGTAGTGTATAGACAGACCTTACCTCTATCCTGAGGGAATAGAGAGGTTGTTTCCGATAGACCCTCGGCTCAAGAAGACGAAAAGAGACAATATACCAGGTTAAGTTAGCAAATTCGTCTCTTAGGAAGTGCTTTCTCAAGTTGGATGTAGGCGACGGCCTATAACTCATTTGGTCAATTAGAACTTGTCACTTCCAAATAAAACATAATAAGTTCATTCACACAACTGGAGTTTGTTCCAGGCTTTCAATGGTTTATAATCAGCACTCAAGAATATAGTTACAGATGCCACTTTGCGTTGTAGAATAACTATACAATTCCCTGTGAACAGAGCTTCACCTCAGAAAGGGTTGCAACTTCAAGTCATCAATGGAAAGATACATAATACTAACTGAATGCACTTTAAGTGTAGCTAGCAAAATCTGTATCTTGTTTCCTTGGATTGATGGTGTGAATGAGACAACAAATTCTGGATTATGGTTTCTGTATATGCTGTTCCTAATATAAGAGCTTCACGGTACCTCATGGCCAAAATTTATCAGTCCCTTGCAAATCACATGCACGTTGTTCACAGTCAAGCTTGCCCCATCGTGCATCAACTCGATCACATGGAAATATAGGCTTGTTCAAACTGTATAAAATAGTTGGAATTCGCTTCAGAAATACAGGAATAAATTAAATATCAAACTTCAAGCAGGCAGGAACTAACCCGATGAAAAAAACTTTCAACTTAAAAGACCCATTGAAGACAAGATTGGGAAGCAATCAAGAAAACTAGTTCTGTCACAAACTGGACGCATACTCTAACTGCAGAAATTTTTTCTATAATGGACATCAAGAGGATTTATCAAGTTCACTAATCAGAAAACGGAGAAGAAAAGGTCATGAATATAGGGTTAAAAGAGGAGAAGTTTCAAATAAGATTGTACTAACAAGATTCAAGTTAAAGTGTTTGGGGGCCAATGTGTTCACATCATATTTAAGAGTTTTAAGTCCTCTTTCTTGACGTAAAAGATGCATAGCTGAAAACAGAAAAAGCTTTACAATGCAGTACCTTCTATTTACCACATTGTGCATGTAACATAACCATTGTGAAAATTCAGCTTGAGATCCAGCTTGTACAGGATTTGCTCTGTCAAATAACAAGAGAAACAAAGTTCATCAACATTCACTAAGAAACTCGTTAAGGTATTCCGAGCATTCAAGGCAGCAGTCTAAGTCATAACATCACAGAAAGGCACTCTAGCCCAATGACGTCACCGACTATCGAGATTGTAAAGCTCCGTAAATTTTTCGTATCTAATTCAAGCTAATTACATGTTTACAGTGTGATTTAATTAATCTCAAAGGGCGTGCGGGCTCACACGAGGGTGACAATGAGCTGGGGATATGTGAACATGCCTAAGGAACCAATAGGAAGAGGTTTGGATCAGGGAATAAGAAAAATGGAAGCAAATGAATCGCAGTGGAAAGTTCCAGGCCATGTCTCCTATTTGGACAGGGCATGAGACACTCACAAAGATTTGGACAAGAAGCGAGGTGACGCAATGGACTAAGGTTCCATCAAGTGGGCATTGCAAGTCACCGTCCAGATCCTGGAACCAGGGGATGTGCCGCATGCCCATTGCATGGGGTGCCTGAAATTTAGTGAAAATAGTATCCAACTTCAAAAATATATATCTCTTGATATATAAGAAATTTCACCAAGGTTCCTTGACGAAAGTTGTAGCTCTTGAAGCATTTCCAACACTTCAAACTGTTTGTCAGTTGTAGATCAGTACGAAAAGATATGGCTGTTTTACCAAAGGGTGGCCGTGCAATCACAGTCCATGCGACGGCTATTTGCCGCATGGCCAGAGCATGGAACCCCAGCACCATAAATATAGCTATTTCAGGACAGATTTGCACTTTGAGAAAGGGGTTAGGTTCTTGGCTCTAAGTGAACATTTGGTACTTCAAANATTTGGAGTTGAGATCCCATCAAAGCATCTACTATTCCTCTCATTCCACAAACACCAAAAAATAGCTGTAGGGATCATCAACCAGATCTTCTTGATGGTCTTATCAACTCTCCATCGACTCCAGCTCAGGTGTGCCTGTTTTATGTTTTGTGGCATAACCCATTTGAGGCCAAAAATATAATAAAACATGTTCCAAAGGTCAGTGGCCACTGGGCAATGCAAAAACAGATGGCTGACTGTTTCCACATTCTCCCTGCACATATAACATCTATTGACCAGCTGAAGGCCTCTCCTGTTGAGATTGTCTTGTGTCAAGCAAGCTTCATGGAGAACAATCGAGTCAAAGCAAATTACTTTAATAGGCAGCTTAGTTTTCCATATTAATTTCCATGACCATGCATCGTGTTAAATAGTTATGTGTATATAGTCCTAAATCCCATATGTAGTAGGAGTATAATATGTCCTAGTCCAATATGTAGTAGGAGTAGAATATGTCCTAATACCATATGTAGTAGGAGTAGAAGATGTATTATATATAGGGCTCATTGTATCATTGTTAATAATAGATTTTTCTCCCATGCATTCTCACATGGTATCAGAGCTTCAGTGAGAAAATTATCGTTGTGCGTCATTCGAGCGACATCCGGGAAGAACGATCTCGTCGACGTGCAATTTTTCGGCAACTTTGTCTTGTTCCCAGGGTTCATCAGTGTTACAGTGGTACTGTGCATAAACCAGTACCACCATCAGATCCGAAACCCTTGTGCGATCAAACCCCAGAAATTTCAGTCTTATCGGAACAGAAAAGTCAGTCACCGTGCGTCTTTTCGGTTGATGACTCAAGATTGATTTGCGTTATATCCTCAGCGATAAGTGTTGTGCGAAAAACCAACACTACGATCTTGTTCGGAAACAGTCAATCACTACGACAAAAAGTCCATCATGTACCTCAACACGCTGCCAGAACTAGGGTTCCAGCGAGCTACAGTAACTTTTCCTGTGTGTGTGAGACATTCCGGCCACTTTTTGACAAAACTTCTTTAGGACAACTTACTTCTCCGGTGATTCCGAGCCTACGCATATTAATTACAACAAATTCTGACGACTTTTATTTTTTCCGGCATGAACAATGCCCTTTTCCCCGCATGAACAGTGATTTCCCGGCATAAATAGTAATTTCCAGAAAAGTTTCTGTGTTTTTGCTGGTGTTTTAGAACCTATTTTGTAGTGTGGAATTCGGCTTAATCTCACTATTTTCAAATTTTACCAGCGACCTTTCGGTCAACTTCTTTTTATCAGCAACCACCTGGTTTTGTTGCTCAAGGGGAGTCCATGGCCTTGTATGTCGAATGACCAGTTTGCAGATATTTTCACCAAGTCCCTCACTGGTCCTCTTATTAGTTACATATGTAACAAGCTCGGTACATATGATTTGTATGCACCGGCTTGAGGGAGAGTGTTAGATAGTTATGTGTATATAGTCCTAATCTATATATAGTAGGAGTAGAATATGTCCTAGTCCGATATGTAGTAGGAGTAGAATATGTCCTTATCCCATATGTAGTAGGAGTAGAATATGTCCTTATCCCATATGTAGTAGGAATAGAATATGTCCTAATCCCATATGTAGTAGGAGTAGAAGATGCATTATATACAGGGCTCATTGTATCATTGTTAATAATAGATTTTTCTCCCGTGCATTCTCACACATCGATCACTTGGTTTTGAGAACATAGCTCCCTATAACATTCTTTCACTGAGAAAGTGCCCTTACTCCCCCAACAAATGGTGTCTGGTGTACTTGCATTCATGTTGAACCTTTCCACTCTGGCAAGCAATTCTATCAAGTTTTCCACTTCCCAATCTTGCACTGCTCTTCTGAGATGAACATCCCAATTATTGCCACTTTTGTTCGGATTTATGGAGGAGCCTTTGTCCAATGCAATCTGGAACATGCTAGGGTATTCATCCATGAGTGTAATGTTGTTGAGCCATTTGTCTTTCCAGAATTTGATATGTGCTCCATTTGTTTTCTCTATTCTTTCTACTATTTTGGATAAGTGAAAGGGGGAGATTTGAGGACTTTTATTTTCTTTTTATTTTTTTTGGTTTTTGGGTTTTTTTTAATTATTGTAATTCTCTTTTAAATTACAGATGCCAATTTTTCCCCAAAATTACACGTGTCATTATATCATTGGTTCATTTGACATGTCAACAACGACTGACTTTTATGCGGATGGTCTATATATAAGAATATTAAGCCAATCACATACCTATAGTTTTAAATTGCCAGTAGAAAATATAAAAAGAAACATGATCGATGAGGATTCGTATACCCAATCCCCATTTGTTTGGAACTGGGACATTGTTTGTTGTAGATTAGAATCTAAAAATGAAAATTCTGAAAAAAGAAAATGTACCTATTGCTCTCATGCAAGCTGATAAACTAGGTACCTTAGAACTTCTTTGAAGTGATCTGCACATTCTTTGCAAGGGTACATGCGAGATAATATTGCCATCTGCAAGCAAAAAGAAAAGCTATCCCTTTAGTTTCCACAAAAAGCACCATTCTCTATAATCAAAATCCTTATTGCTTGCGGAATGGTAAAAACATAAATTCCTTGTAGTATATAATGGAAAAGCTCATTATAAATTGGGGACATCGATGTATAACACTTCCCATATGGTGGTCACCTTAATTTTGTCTCATTGCTTATGAAAAGCATAACAGAAAGGAAGTTCGAGTATTTTGAACTAGTGATAAGGGGTAACTACTCTACCCCTAGATAAGCCCTCAATATTTTAAAGCAGATCCTTGGGCTATGTAACATCACTGTCCAATCACATATACAAAACCATCTAATATAGGGGGTGTTTTTGTATTTTAATCGCAAACGCTATAATAAAAGTAAGGCTGTTAAAAGGCAGCTGCAAGTATGCCGCTTTGTTTGGGGGAAGAGGGGAGATGATGCTGGAGATGTGCATACTTCCGTGGGTAGCTGAAGGGAGAGAGGACAGCGAGGACAAGCAGGGACCCAGTGGGACGAGGGAGAAGGTAGAGGTGTGAATTGAGCCAAGGGATGGAATGGGAGAGGGTAAAAAAGCGGACTGCAAGATGGATTTCAGGATTTTGACGGTGCTTTAGTCTGAGAATGGGTCATAGGGGTGGGCACATAGGAGCAGGTGACAAAAGAAGGGCAGTGGACAGCGGGCTGGTGCAGGTGAAGAGGGAACAGTGCCAAGAGACAGTGGGCTGGAGTGAAGATAGTTAGAACGTACCTTGAATGGTGGCATCGTTAGTTTCAGGAATATCTATTTCTTTTTTCTTCATGTTCGGTTTTCTGCTTCTCTACTCCATGCTTTCCTGTTCCTAAAGCACTTACCATTCGTTGATTTCGATTTTTCTATTTCCTTCTTTTATCTAAAATTCAATTTTATTTGTTTTTCCTACTTGTAAGAACCATAAGTCACCCAAGACTTAAATCTGGCATTGTAGGGACTACTCTTAGGTTTCAGACAGATGTTAAATAGGCGACATATTCAATAAGAAAATTAGAACGAAAAATTCCTAATCAACATTGAGCAATCCAAACTTCCCAATAAGGGTAAGTTATATATGAAATGCAATGCAAGGGAAAAAAGCAATAATGTGGCGTCAGTGGAATCGGCAGCATTCTCAAATTACTTATTCACATCACCATCTTATAGAGCACCTATTGTTTACTCCCTTTCAAAATTTATACTTCTATACTTCCCATCCTCTGGACTGCATAAACCTCTCACTCTTATAATGGCACAAGAATTTCCCAAATGATTGTATTATTTCTTATGCACACCCACCTTGTACCTCACATGCAGACAAACAGAAATCCGACATATCAATTTCAGTTGAGCTCTCGAAAGAGAAGAGATCCTTTTGGATATGTCCACAGCATGAGAAGACAAGGTCAAAATGTTATTATTTTGCATGAAGATATTCAAAAATTTCTTTGGAATCTGATGACGAAGCAGTTGGGATTCTAAGCTTCACAGTTTTGAAATCAAGAAAAATAATAGTTTAGGGTGACTGAGTACCATACCAGTTCTTTCACATCCCTCTTTTGTTGTCTGGTTGGCTTGTCTGGATACTGAAAAAAAATAAAATTGAGCTATTTTGATCATATAGGTTGACAAGCAAGAATACTCAACAAATAAAATGTATCTATTTTTGGGCACCAAGAAAAAAAAAAAGAACCAGGCGGATAAGGAACCCTTTGGAACACTATTGTAACTGCCCTTATGCGAATTTATTAACCATCAAGAGCATTGGGTAGACTAGATATATAACAAAATAGTAGAGCAAAAATAAAACCAGACAATTAAATATCAAAATAGAACAATTCACAGTAATGATAACACAGTTAGGGGTAATAAGTGTTCTCACCTTGCTTAACTGTGTGCTAACAATATTATTAATGAACGCGTATTGCTGTACAATTCTCAAAAAACTTGTCAACCGAAATGCCTAAGCAACCCAGACTAAATTTTCTCTGCTGAAAGGTTTTTACAGCTGCGTAGAAACTAGAAAGAGAACTTCTGCAATAGAAAAAGTGGATACTTGACCTGAGCTCCAAGAGTGTGAAGAAAAGTCCAAGTAGCTCTTCCAAGATCTTCTTTAGTCACTGGGCCAGCATTTTTCTCCTGAGAAAGATGATTGATAATTTTTTTTACTGCGGTGTGAAAAAACAACCAGCAAGCAATTGAAAACCAACATATACTGGATAACATTTTCCTGGTGAATGAGGAGCAATTAAAATTTTCCGATCTTTCAAAACAGTTAAATGCCAAAGAGCTTAATGAACGGGAGACCCAGAAGAAATTCCTAAAACAAATATTTTTTGATGCATCAACTCCCAAATTTTACGATCAATGATCAATTGCTGCATAAATACTCGCCCCTTGTCTACCCACACTCCTCAGAAATGTATTTGTTATGTAGTCTTTTGTCAGTTGGAGGAAACTTCAACACCCTCATGCATTGAGATCGTCAACTAAGCCTCAATTCCCAACTAGTTCAGATCAGCTATATGAATCCTCTGTATCCATTCCGCTATATTCAAGCCAATTCCATTTCATCAATGTCCCACGTACTTAAGTAGGCAAATCTATTAGTACAAAAAATTTATCATAACTAGCTATTTTCACGCTCGCGCCACTGCTTTTATTATCCGGCGTTGGAACTGGCGACACTTTTCATATAGGTGGAGTTCAAAACCCTTCATGCATTTGATCGAAAAAATAATCTTTCTTTTTTTCTTTAGTAGTATATGGTGAAAACTTACATAATCTAGCATCATTATCCATTCGGTTTGTATAGCTCAAACCTATCTCAACAGCCAAAAATATTTTTACGGCAATAACAGAAAAAGACGCTCAGACTATCTGTGAGAACTTTCATCAAACACTTATTAGGCATTATCTACGTACCTCCGGTGCTTCAATAAGTGCAGCAGCACCTAAAACACAGCTCGAAGCTACAAAATAAGTAAAGGCCCTTAAGGAAAATTACCTGCTTGGGCAATTCAGAATGTTGAGAAGTTGGAGATTTTGAAGGAGGTAGATTCGTGGAAGAAGATGAAGAGAGCACCAAAGAGAAGGAGTGGTCATCATTATGAGATGAAGGAGGTTTTGGGACAGATATGAAATGAGCAAGCTGGCTTTGGATAGAGTTTGATACTTTCTCGTAAGTTTTGAACAGAAGCTGCAATGGATTTTCAGACATTTGGAGGAGTTGAGTCTTTGATTGAGAATGTTCCAAAAGCGTTTCGCGCGGTGATTCGTTTTATTATTACCCAAACTTTTTGGAATTTGCGACAATAACACAGAGTACACACTACACACTACACACTACACACTACACACTATCCTATTACAGGCAAACGGCTAAATATACCTTTCTGCCTTCAAATATTGTTTACGTATATCCCTTGTTATACCATTGTACTATCTATACCCCTACCGTCATGCTATTGGATTATCTATATCCCAACTGTTATACTTTAAAATAAAAATACCCCTATTTTGAATGGAGTGACACGTGACAACACCAGATTAAAACGATCCATTTTTTTACCCGACCCGTTTAAAAAAAACCCACAACCCGACCCCTATTTTTTATTTTTTTCCAATTTTTTTTTTTAAATTTTTGTTTTTAAAAAACGAAAATATTTTGTTAAAAAACAAAAAATATTTTTTTCTGTTTTTACAAATTTGTTTTTCCAGTTTTTACAAAAAAGAAAATCTTTAAAAAAAATTGAAAAAAAAACATTTTTCAAAAACGAAAATATTTTGTTAAAAACTGAAAAAATACAATTTTTTTTAGTTTTTACAAATATGTTTTTACAGTTTTTACAAAAAAAAAATATTTTGTTAAAAAAATGATTTTTTCAGGTTTTACAATTTGTTTTGCAAAATCTTTTCAGTATCTACTCAGTTTAAAAAAACGAAAATATTTTGCATTTTTTTTAAGTTTTACAAAAAGAAAATTCTTTAAAAAAAAAACGAAAAATGAAAATATGGTTCGGGTTGTGGGTTTTTTGTAAAATGGGTTGAGTAAAAAAAAAAGAAATGTGTCATTTTAATCTGATGCTGTCACGTGGCACTCCATCCAAAATAGGAATATTTTTGTTCCAAAGTATGACGGTAGGGGTATGGATAGCCCAATAGTATAACGAAGGGTACAAGTAAACAATATTTGAAAGTAGAGGGGTATATTTGGCCCTTTGCCGATCCTATTATGTACTTAGCAATCATTCGTGGCGGCAAAAAAAGTTTAATTGGCCTTAGGATAGTGAGTATTCCTCCCATTTAAGGGCCCGTTTGATACGAGGGATAAGGAATAATTAATTCCGAGACTAAATTTAAGAAGAGTTTATCCTATATTGTGTTGATAGAAAATCGCAATATAATTAATTCCGGAATTAGTTATCCCGGAATTGTGGTATTTTTTTATCCCATGGAAAAGTGAAATACCTAATCCTAGGATAACTTCTTTCCAACCAGACAACCCCTTGAGAAATAAGTTATTCCATGATTAATTATTCCCGAATTAGTTATTCCGAAACAAATTATCCTACCCTTTCATAGGAATGAAAAACACTACAGTCTCAGTTATACTACAATTTTATAAACTCATTTCAAATTTTATTTTTACAAGTCATACCCGGGACTCAAATTTAACTCCGGAACTAATTATATAAAAGTCTTGGGTATGAGTTGTATGAATAACAAATCTTTTGGCAGGAGCACTTTATCCTCAATGGTACTATTTGATACGCATTCAAATTGGTCGAGCTGTATTGGGAAAAAACTGGGTCTGAATATTGAAGATGACGTGTCATGACACGTGGACTGATCAAAAGGTCAAAAACGCAATAAATAGCCAAGAGGCACGGGCGACAACAGATAGGGGGAAAAGAAAGCAACATAGGTGTGAACCGTTACTAAAATAGGTACGAGTCTCGTACATATTCGAGTCGTTTAAAGATCAAAGATCAGAAGAAGTTGAAGATACGAATCTGATGACGTAAAAGAGTCTAAATACAACATTAAATGTCAAATACGTTAGAGAATCTGAATTAAATAGAAATGATTGTGTAACGTTTCTTTTAAATATCATTTATTGCTCATAATTGCCTCATTAAGACAAAGGCATTATATCTTCTCCTAGAATCAACTATAAAAGGGGAAAGACTCAACATCTGTAAGGACATGAAATACTATTGAGATCTTACTGAAATACAAAACTATTTACTGCTTTACCATCATTCTCAAAAATATTTTATTTTCGTCTCCTGATTATCAGTAACCCGAATTTCTTTCTAGCTTTGACCAAAGACTCAGATTTTTGGTTAAACAAATTGGTTCCGTTACCGGGAATCTGATAAT